GTACGATAGGCTAAGAAGCCTTCTACTTGGAAATGGTTTTGTGAGAGGTAAAGTTGGCAATACTTTGTTCAGAAAAGAGTTTGTAACATATTTTATAGTAGTGCAAATCTATGTTAATGATATTATCTTTGGTGCTACTAATGAATCTATATGTGAGGGTTTTTCTAAGTTGATGTAGACGAAGTTTGAAATAAGAATGATGGGGAATTGAAGTTCTTCTTAGGACTTCAGATTAAATAGGCAGAGGAAAGACATCTATATTCATAAGCAAAAATACACCAAGGAATTTCTTAAGAAGTTTTTTTTATTTTATTTTATTTCTTATTTTTTACACTAATATGAGCATTAATAAGAGGCCTAACTTTGAATTAAAAAGGTTTACAAGTGGTGGAAAAAAGGTATAGGAAGTGTAAGTGTACTAGATAGGTTTCTAGGTTACTAGTAGCTAGTTTTACTTATAATTTACTCTCTTTTTTGTACAATTTCTCTAATTTTTGTTTCACACTTCCTAAGCTGATTGTATATCTCAAATAAATCACAAAAGACTCAAGGAATTGATGACCTTAAATTTCTAAGTAAGAGTTAGCAAGTGAAGTTCACAAAATATGACATTAGAACATGCTAGATCTAATAACATGCATAGGAGTCATTCAATGAGCACTTCTAAGAGTATTAATATGTGCAGCCAACAATGTTTACGAAACAAAACATAGACAATGTTTATAGGTTTCAAAAGAAAAGGGTACACAAGAGAAGTAATGACAAGTAATGGACTAAACAAGACAACTAGACAAAACTAGAAGGGTTAAGAAATGGAAAATGCACTTAACTACTTGTTTTGCTTTGGAGAATTTTTTTGACTGAACATATCAATGCAAAAAACAAGATATCAGCAATCCGAAAACATTAAAAATGCAGTAAAAAGATTAACTTAAAGGCACACAACAAGATTGATCCATATAGATTAATGTATGAATAAAAAAAGTTCAAGACAAAATGAATTGTTCTATAGATTTATGGTTGTGACACAAGAATAATTCTAATCCATACAAATCAATATATAATGAAGAACAACACATTCTAACCGAACCAAAACACTAAACAACATGATTTGACCAAACAAAATATGAAAGGAAGCTTAAGGAAATGCTTTACCAAGAAGACCTTGCTCTTGATATGATGGAAATGGCTTGTAGGAGTGATTGTTGTTCTCCTCCAAGCTTCATCTCCTTTGTCCAATCATCTCTTGAGGTTGAACTTTGAATACGGAAGCAAGGAACCAAGCTTAGAAAGCTTGAGAAGCAACTCCAATGGCGCGAACTTCTTCTTGAAGGAGAAGAAGATGAGAGGAACCAAGGCACAAAGGAAGGATTCCTTTGTGAAGGTTCTTAAGGAGAGAACTTTCTCCACGGTTTTGAGACCTTTGAGAGGGATAGAAATTCTTAAAATTCAATCTCATATATGCCTAAAGTGATTACAATTCTTAAGGAAAAGAATATATAGAAGAAGGTAGCTTGTGGAGCAAGCTAAGCTTAACCATGGTTCAAGAGAACCAAGGTTAGCTTAGCTTGACCGTCCACCTTGGTTTGGAAGGCTTGTGGAGCAAGCTTCTAACTTAGAAGCTTGGGAAGAAAGCTAAGTTAGAAGCTTATAGCACAAGCTTCCCAAAGGTGCAAGGTTTGCTAGAAAATTCGCCAATGCAAGCTTATGGAGCAAGCTACGCTAACCATGGTTCAAGAGAACCAAGGTTAGCTTAGCTTGACCGTCCACCTTGGTTTGGAAGGCTTGTGGAGCAAGCTTCTAACTTAGAATCTTGGGAAGCAAGCTAAGTTAGAATCTTGTAGCACAAGCTTCCCAAAGAAGCCAAATGAACAAGTCAATCCGGCCAAGGTTGGAGGTGGGCGGCCAATGGACTTTGTTCCATATTAATCCAATCTAAATAAATTGGAATTGGTTTAGTTAGGTTCACCAAATGATGGTGAGGCCTAGCTAAATCAATTCCTTGGAAAATATGGAGCAAAACAAGCCCAATATGTAAAATTTGGCCTAGGCCCAACTCTGGCTCATTTACTAATTAGACCTACACACCTTGCTAATTGTCACTCCACTTTTACTACTGAAAAAGTAAAAATGAATGACCTTTAATACAAGGTTAAATGGAGTAAAAGTCTCCAAAGAACCTACTCTAAATTCATAATACAATAGTCTATAAAAAAAATAAAGTGCCTCACAAATACAAAGGCAAAATAAACCTTACAAGTAACTACTATATTTACAAACATATGAAAGGTCTTCAAAATCATCTCATTCCTCTTGGTTCCTTTAATATATTACCTTTTGGTCTCCTTAGCCTTGGCATGCTTCCATCATGATACCAAATGATGGAAAACCTTATGAGGAACTAGATTATTGTAGCTTCTCCTTCAAGTTTCTTCCTAGATCTTTTCCTTCTTCACACTCCCCAAGCTTCTTCAAGGTCTCTAATGGAGGAAGAAACCTTTGGATTCACCTTCAATGGTGAAAGACTCTCTTCAATTGGTGCCACCTAAAGGAAGAAGATAAACCACTTCAAATCTCACCACACTTTTAGGCAGAGGAGAAAAGAATTGGAAGTAAATCAAAGAGAGATTTAAGCTTTTGAGAGAGAATTCTAAGAGAATATTTAGGCCAACTCAATCAAATGCTAAAAAATTAAGTACAAATGGTTCCAAACACCTATATATATAGAGCTTAGGTAGCTTGGAGAAGAAGCTAGACATCTAGGAGACAAAGAGATACTTAGATCTAGATCCACCAATCACAAACAAGCCATAGGAGACATGTTTTCAGACATGTAAGAGATATCTAGATCTATGGGACCAAAAAAATTTGAATAACTTTTATTAGCTTACTTTCTCTATTTTGTAAATATTTTTCCTTGTGAATATTTTCTTAATGTTGACTGTATTTTTTTGGGTCAAATAGTGTAGGAATTTGTTTTCTTGTAATTTTTATTTTTAAGGGTGTAGATAGTATTTCAAAAGGGTGTAACTAGAAAATGAGATATGAGCATGTTCAGCTTGCATTGACCCATAGAAGCATCTTGAATGTGAGGTCTAAGCATTTGGACATCCATTTTTAGTGGACAAGGTGCTCCATGGTTAATTCAAACCCAACAAATCACATGTGTCACACCTAATCACATTTTTGACACCTTGTCATGTGACAAACCCCCTTTGACTCTTATAGATCTAGGATATTGACATAAGTCACACTTGTTTTGCCTTACCAAACATAGTGATGGAAGAACTCTTGAAGAAGTGATTGGAATTGCTTCTCCTAGCTTCCTTCGAAGTCCACACACAATATTTGAGGTTCTAATGGAAGAAATCAAATCCTGAATCGGAAGAAGATGCAACTGGATCCATGAGGTGTTTATCTTCCTTAAGAAGGAAGAGGAAGCTCCAAAGCACAAAGAAAGGATTCCTCTATGAAGGTGCTTAAGGAGGGAGAATTTCCTTAAGGTGTTTGAGACTCTTTAAGAGAAAATTCAGAAGTGAATTTCATATATCATCAAAAAATGGTCAACTACATAGGTTTAGGGTATATATAGAGTGGAGAAGCTTGTGGGAGAAGCCAAGGTTAACTAGGGTTTAAAGTTGACCATGGTATGGTCACTTTAAACCATAAGCGCCCAAAATTTAAATTCAAATTCAAATTTTGGAGCCTTGGCCGGTCACACAAGGATTGCGCACACTCACATGGATTACATGCTCCATTTGGATGTAATTTAGAGTGCATTCCAAGTGGATTTGAAGCATGTGGACGACACGACACCTAAGTGTGGTCTTCCATGCATGCTTCAAATTCAAATGAAATGCATCCTAATTTACATCTAATGTCCTTTAATCCAATTAACCCTAAATGGTCATAAACTACATGACCTAAAATACAAAGTCAAAAATAAACTAATCCAAAATTCCTAAAATTAAAAGACAAAGAAAATGAGACTAATATTGGCTATGTAAAGCCTAGTCTCAATTCGACCAAAATACAAGCCAAAAGAAATACAAAGACTAAACCCTATTCTATATACAATGTGACCTCAAAAAGTGGTGGACCATGAAAAGAGTAACTTGGGCTCAGAGAGCCCACCATCCTCTAAGCTAGCCTAACCATCATGAATGCTCTTGGCCATAGCTCTAGTAATTGAGCCCTTGGCCCATGGTCTTCCATCACATAGGCTCTTCTAGATCTAAGATAGTGACATTTTTCGGAGAAAAATTTAAATTTGAAATTGTAACTAGAGTTGGTAGTCTTAAGTACAAGCTAACCTAACCTCTAACTTTCGTCACAAGCTACCAAACTCTCTCTATATATATCTTCATCCTCATTGTATTCGTCCACTTTTGAATCATTTGAGAAATAAACTTAATTTTTCTCTTCCAAAAGTCTAAGTTATCTTTCTTGGAGATACTTCTCCTTGTAAATATTTATTAAAGAATTTCTCTTTGTCGCAAGTTTTTCACCATTCTTGCTTATCTTCCTTAAAGTGGTGCGCCTCCTTTCTTCCTCCTCCACCATTTTCAAATTTATTTGAAAGTTACAAGTCCATGTTAGAAGATTGAAAACACATTGGAACTAGTTGAAGAGAAATTTCATCCATCTTCTCCACTAGTTTCATCACACATACTAACATGATATCATTAATAATTGTTAGAAACACATGAAATTCTTGCTTAACTTTTCAATAAACAAATAAATAGTTAATAATGATTACATTGATAACATGGACTAAAAATAATTATTATAGATTTTAAAAAGATGAAAAACAAAGAAATTTTTTTTATGTAAGAGATTAAAATTAGAAATCATTTATTTTGTTGAAATAAAACATTTTTAAGCTAAAAAGGAAAAAAAATTAAAATTAAAGTCTATAATTCATTTTAAAAATTATAAAATATTTAAAAATAATTTTGACAGATCTATCTGTTACAAAGGTACAATATTTTTGTGGTTTCAAGTTTGACGCATGAGGCCTTAATTTTGGACCAAGAGAAACGGTGGATAAAGCGAGGATGAAGAAGTGGCAAAAGAGGTAGCTGGGTACCTCTGGGAAGCATCAGCAATCAGCATTGTTTGGATTTGGAATGAATGTGATGGCTTCTCTGCTCCCTCCAACTGCTACTTGCACACTCAAACACAACCACATGGCCTGTCCCCTCAGACCCATCACCCCAACCATTGCCAATGCTTCTTTCTCATCATTAAACCACCGTTTGAAGAGCAACTCCGCAAAGTGCCATGCGTTTTTGGATGAAGTGGCCAAAGGGTTGTTTAGTGATGGTCTCGAATCGGGAATAGTGCAGTTCCAGAGAGCGACTGAAGGCTTATCCGACATGCAGAGGTGGGGCTTCCTCGTGTTTGGTGGCTTGACTTGGATTTACTTGACTGCGAGGCCAGGTGTTCTTGTTGGCGCCATTGATGCGTACCTTTTGGCGCCTCTTCAACTGGGTTTGGACAATTTGTCTGGGAGGAGGAACCTCAAGAGGAGTGACTTTGTGGTTGGAGATAAGCTTGGTGAAGGGTCCTTTGGCGTTGTCTATTCGGGTGTCGTGGTTCCAAAGAACGGGAATGGGGATCTGAATGTGGTGCAGAAGAGGGGGAGAGGAAAGGCAACTCAGGTGAATGCCAAGTCTAAGGATAAAGTCATTCTAAAAAAGGTATTGTACTACTGTTGTTGGAAGTTGTAAACATTTCTAATGGTGTTCATATGTTGGGTTGTTATTTTTTATGGACAAAACTTTGATAAAGGAGTTCCTTTTTAGGTGCTTTTTATGCTTTTTTTTAAATCAAAATTAGACTTACATCTACATCTTGCTAATCTATATGGATCGTTAATTTTCCTCCTAGTGGCAAGGGTTGGTGTTGTATCCACAGGCATTTAGGTTGGAATGGTGTTGCCATCATTGTAATTCCTATGGATAAAAAAGTATTGATCTTTAATGCAAACCTTGATTATGCTGATTATTCTGTTTGGAGGAAAATATGACCTAAGGAATTGTATTTAAGTTTTATCCTTGTTTTTATTATTTACGCCTTGTTTGAACTCAGTTGAACTGTTAGCTCAGTGTGTTTCTCACCTGGAATTGTATGTCCTGCATCTCTTGGGTGGTTGGGTTTGATAACAAATGCAAATGTGTTAACTGTTAGTAGAGTGTGATGTGGGCATATTCTAATGTTAGTCATCAACTCTACTCAACCAGCATGCAGCAGTGGACTACGTTAGTGTTTGAGAAAAAGGGGTGCGGGTGGTTAGCCTATTCAATCTGTTGCATCACAGAGAAAGAATCAAGTGTTGGCTGCATTGAATTGATATGGTGATCATGGAAAACCTTGCTTTTAGTGTCCTGGTTTTGTTCTTTGATTTGGTGGATGTGTGATATAAAAATGTTTCCACCAAACCTTGATTAGAATTCTCCAGCCATTCTTTGCTTTTTTATCTATAACAAATTCTTGTTTTCATGATCAAGAGAAGAAAGATATATAAATGCACACATTATAAATTGAACTAGGACGGCAAATTGCATACTTGATTTCCAATTTCTGTTTTTGGATTACGAAGCATATAAAAAGCATTTTGCAGCTGACTAATGGAATGTGCAGGTCAAGGTTGGAATCCAAGGTGCTGAAGAGTTTGGTGATTATGAGGAGTGGTTCAATTACAGGCTATCTAGGGCTGCACCTGAAACATGTGCTGATTTCCTTGGAAGTTTTGTAGCTGATCAAACAAATTCACAATTTACAAAAGGTGGAAAATGGCTTGTTTGGAAGTTTGAGGTGCTCTAGCTTGTATTTCTATTGCATAAACAATACCCTTAGATTAACTAATGCTCTGTTTAACTAAATAATTTGTTTGGGTGGTGTTAAATATCATCTTGAAAATAAAAATTAAATTTGTCATCTTAGTCTAGTTTATTTCTTCATTTACTTAAATTAATTGTTGGGCTGTCTGAGTCACAGGGAGATCGTACTCTTGCTGATTACATGAAAGATCGCAACTTTCCTTCAAACTTAGAATCTGTGATGTTTGGACGGGTCTTGCAAGGTGTCGACTCTTCAAAACGAAATGCATTGATCATCAAGCAAATAATGCGCCAGATCATTACATCTCTTAGGAAAATCCATGATACAGGCATTGTTCACAGGGATGTAAAGCCAGCCAACTTAGTGGTTACAAAACGAGGGCAGATTAAACTCATTGATTTTGGTGCTGCAACGGACCTGCGGATTGGAAAGAATTATGTTCCCAATCGCACTCTTTTGGATCCTGACTACTGCCCACCAGAATTATATGTACTTCCAGAAGAAACACCAAGTCCTCCACCAGAGCCAATTGCTGCTTTCCTTTCACCAATCCTGTGGCAGGTTTTACTACGTATACTCTATTTATGCAGTCAAAAACTTGAAAAGGAGAATGATTTTATTATCATCATTCATTCGTATTACATTTTTCTAACACCTATTTGTAACAAGCTAATCTTTCAAAATAAGGAAATAAGGAAAAAATATTCTGAAAAATAAACTAGAAGATTCTACAGATATTTTCTCTAATTAGGAAGATTTTAATATAATTAAAACACTAACAATAAAGTTGGTAAATGAATATCAATCATTACCAACTTGCTTACAAGATCTTGAAATCTACCCTGAGGGAGCCCTTTTATAAAAATATCTGCTATCTAAAGTTCTGTAGGAACACGAGTTGTTATCACAAAACTTCTGTCTAGATTATCTTTGATGAAATGTCTGTCAATCTAAATGTGTTTGGTCCTATCATGTTGTACTGGATTATGGGCAATGCGGATGGCAGACTTATTGTCACAGTATAGTTGCACGGGGTTGTCCACCTTGACTTTAAGGTCATCCAAAATGATTTTCATCCCGAGTCCTTCACACATTCCTTGTGCAAGGGCTTGGAATTTAGTTTCTGCACTAGAACGAGATACCCTATCTTGCATTTTGCTCCTCCACGTTACCAGACTATCTCCAAGAAACACACAATACCTAGAAATAGATTTTCTGTCAGTAATAGAACCTGCATAGTCAGCATAAATATATATTTTCATAGTCAACGTATCTTCCCTTTTGAACAATAGCCCCTTTCCTAGATTTGACTTCAAGTACTGGAGAATTTTGTCAACTGCTTGCATGTGTCTCTCTCTTGGATCATGCATAAATTGGCTCATTACACTAACTGCATAAGCAATGTCTGGTCTTGTATATGATAGATAAATCAATTTTCCAACTAATCTCTGATATTGGGCCTTCTCTACAGGAACGCTTTCTTCACTTCCAATTCTGTGATTCTGCTCTATAGGAACTGTTGAGGTTCTACATCCCAGCTTTCCTGTTTCTTTGAGGAGATCAAGTACATATTTCTTTTGGGAGATGAAAATTCCATTATTGGAATAGAGGTTGCTTGTTCCAAGAAAATACTGGAGTTTTCCTAGGTCTTTCATTTCAAATTGGGCTGCCAATTTTTCTTTTAATGCCAATTTTTCTGTTTCATCATCTCCTGCAATAATCATATCATCCACATAGACAAGCAATAGAGTGAGTTTACCTGTAGAAGAGTGTTTTATGAATAGAGTATGATCTCCTTGGCTTTGTCTGTATCCCAAGGAAACCATTGCTTTTGTAAATCTTCCAAACCATGCTCTAGGGGATTGCTTAAGACCATACAATGCTTTCTTTAGGAGACATACCTTGTTTCTTTCATTTTGCACTTCAAAACCTGGGGGAGTCTCCATGTACACTTCCTCTTCCAGATTTCCATGAAGAAAGACATTCTTCACATCCAACCGGTGTAAGTCCCAACCAAAATGAGCAGCCAAAGTGAGAACAACTCGAACTGTATTCATCTTTGCCACTGGGGCAAATGTCTCCTCATAGTCAATCCCATAAGTTTGGGTATAGCCTTTTGCCACCAATCTAGCTTTATATCTTTCTATTGGCCCATTTGCCTTACTGTGAATATCCATCTACATCCTACTGCTTCTTGTCTCTTGGTTTATCAATAATCTCCCAAGTTGAATTTCTTTCTAATGCATTCATCTCTTCTTTCATGGCTTGAGTCCAATGTTCAAGTTTCATGGCCTCCTGGATTGAGGTAGGAATTTCTGTGGCATCAATGACAACCATGGTTGTCAAACTCGCGAGTCAACTCGTAGACTCGGACGAGTTTACGATTCTAGAGGAGCAAAACTGGTTAACTTGCTTGTAGAATCGTTTTTGGGTAGACTCAGGTAGACTCAGTCAGAATCGCGAGTCTGAGCCCGAGTCCACGAGTCTGGTTACATTTTTTTTTTGACCCTTAAATGGCCCAAAAAGACGTCGTTTTTGCCTAGGGTTAGTTAGTAAGAACACCAGTTTCCCTGCGCGCGAGCTTCCTCCACCATTCTCACGTTTTTGAGTCTCCTTCCGCACCATTGGAACACCCATCTCCACCTCAACGAACGCGCAGCTCCGCCTCAACGAACGCGCAGCTCTGCCTCAACGAACGTTTAGCAATTTCCACTTGAAAATGATTGGTTATTAAGTAGCTCTTAGTAGCTCATATCCCTTGATAGTGCAACTTGTATACTTAGACCTCCAAGTGTTTAGTTTTGTTCCTTGAAAACAAAAACAATTTCTTTTTGCATTGCATATTAAAAACTTCTTTGAACTTAACCATGAGTAAACATTATCAAAGTGGTAGTGACTCAAGCTCTCCAAAAAGTTTTTCTCATCTTGCTCAAGAGCTTAAGGCACTAAAACTTTGGAGAAAGAAAGAGGTGCTTGCTAAAGAAAAGGAAAGAATTAAAAGAGAAGCATAACTTAGTATTCTTGAAGAAGAAATACGAATGGTTAAGCAACAAGAACAAAACCTTTTAGCAAAAATAATATATAAAAAAAGTAGTAAAGGATCCCATAGTTCCACAAGCCTTGAGGAGGTAGGAAGTTTGAACATAGATGAATACTACCAACCTACCCCTAGGAGAGTCATTAGAGAACCTAAGGTAAGGGAATCATGAGTTGATCTCTCTTCCTTTCATGGTAAAGAGGATGTGGATGCCTACTTGGATTGGGAAATAAAAGTGGAGCAAATCTTTACTTGTCACCAATTAGGGGAAGAAAGAAAGGTTCTCTTTGCCACCTTAGCTTTCCAAGGACAAGCTTGTTAAGTTAGACGAAGCAATTCCCAGCAAGGTTTTGAATATGACAAACTGTGGCATCAATGGCAGCAATAAAGCTTCTGTGCTTATCAGAGAGATTGTTAGTGCAAACATACTGAGAAATAGGATATTTAGCACATGATCTTCTTTCCTTTCTCAATGCAATGGGTAAGTCCTCAGTAATACTTACCTCCTCACTGTTATCTTCAGGGATCCTCACCTCCGGATTAGACAATTTTTCTTGCTCGAGAGTCGAAGTGGGTTGTTTTCTTCTTTCATATTTTTTGCCAAAAAATTTGTCTTCCTCTTCTTCCGCTTCTTCCTCATTGTGAACCATGGTAGCTTCATTGCTTAGATCTTGGGCATCCTGCAAAGACAAATATGGTAATGACAAGAAGGAGAGCTCCTCCACTTCAAGTGCTTTCTCCCCCTGAAGTGGTGGACTGGCATAAAAGGATTGTGTTTCCTGAAAGGTGACATCCATGGTGATAAAGACGCGACGACTCTGAGGATGATAACATTTGTACCCTTTTTTATTAGAAGGATACCCAATAAAGACACATTTAAGAGCTTTGGGATCTAATTTACTACGATTAGGATGATGAGAGTGAACAAAAACAGTACATCCAAAGACTCGACTAGGTAGACTCGATATTAGGGGGCAAGAGGGAACAAAAGACAATAAAGACTCTATATGACTAATGCCATTTAAGGTACGGGTGGGTAACCTGTTGATGAGATATGTGGCAGTTAACACAGCTTCTCCCCAGTAATTTTTTGGAACAAACATTTGAAAAAGAAGAGCTCTAGTTACTTCTAGAAGATGACGATTCTTTCTTTTTGCAACCCCGTTTTGTTGATGGGTGTTTACACATGTTAGTTCATGAACAATACCATTATGAGACAAAAAATTGAGAAATTCATGATTCACATATTCAGTACCATTATCATACCTGATTCTTTTGATATTTTTTCCAAATTGATTTTGGACCAGACGGAAAAAATTAACAAAGATTTGGGAAACTTCTAATTTATTTTTCATAAGGTATGTCCATGTGACATGGGTACAATCGTCAATAAAGGTAACAAACCATTTGGCTCCGAAAATAGATTCTACAACAGGTCCCCACACATCAGAGTGAATTAAATCAAATGCAGAAGTACTCTTTTTATTACTAATAGGATAGGATGCACGATGGTGTTTTGACAATTGACAAATATCACAATTATAAGACTCAACAGACTCCTTAGTAAACAAATGAGGAAATAAGGACTTGAAAAGGTTGAATGAAGGATGCCCAAGCCTTTTATGATGTAGCCATATTTGGGAATTTGTCCACGTCTCAGATGTAGCTTGTTGACTCATGATTTTTTTTTTGTTTTGGTCATCAGATTCCACCAGATACAACCCACTCTGCTCTTTAGCAGTTAAAATCATCTTCCCCGTAGCAAGGTCCTGAAAAACACAATGAGTTGAGAAAAATGTTACTGAACAATTTAAATCTTTTATGAGCTTTTGCACAGAGATAAGATTATTGGATAATTGTGGAACATGTAAAACATCCTTTAATACAATAGATGATTCCAAAATTATATTCCCAAAGCCGCATATGGGTACACCTTGACCATTCGGAACTGTAAGTTGTTCTCTATTCCTTTTAATATATGATTTGAAGATCATACAAAAAGGTGTCATATGATCAGTTGCTCCTGAATCAAGAATCCAAGTACCTTGAGACAGGTCCCACAGTAAGGAGAGAACTCTTACCTTTCATGGACAGAGTACATGGTCCAGAGGGCTTATTGATTCAATCATTGCTTTCAAACGATTTAGTTCCTCTTTAAAAGCTTTCATCTCAAAAATATGATGGTGGTAACGTAATGGATTGATTCGGCAACTCATTCTGTGGCGACAACGATGAGTGGGCTACACCGGAAAAGGAGCAAAAACTCAAAAAACTCAAATCTACTAGAATCTAGGCCAAATGGGACGTCACCGACCCGTGGAACGGACTTAGGAGGCTTCGGCGACCGGTTTTGTGACAGCAGCGGCGAGTGGGTCTTGCAGGAGCTAGGCATGTGAGACGTCACCGGAAAAGGAGCAAAACTCAAAACTCAGATCTACTCAAATTTGGGCCAAATGGGACATCACTGACCCGTGGAATGGACTCAGGAGGCTTCAGCGACTCTTTCTGTGACGACGGCGGCGAGTGGGTCTCGCCGGAGCTAGGCGCGTGAGCTATACGCGCCGGCAACGGTGGCAGCGCGTGGAGGCATATTTCTCGAAGCGAATTCCGGCGTTGTGTTCGCGGGAGTTGGGCGCACCTTTCTACCCTATCAATGACCCCAACAGCTATGGTGGCAGTCGCAGTGGCTGGACAGCGATGGCAGTGGCTACTGTTGCAGCGGAAACGGAGCTCCCAAGATCGGGAGCTCTGATACCAACTTGAAAAGGAGAATGATTTTATTATTATCATTCATTCGTATTACATTTTCCTAACACTTATTTGTAACAATCTAGTCTTCCAAAATAAGGAAATAAGGAAAAAATATTCTGAAAAATAAACTAGAAGGTTCTACAGATATTTTCTCTAGTTAGAAGGATTTTTCTCTAATTACAACACAAAAATGGTATTTTATGTAGCGTTAATACTTGATATTTTAATGGAGAATATAATACTGGGGATCAACAATTTTATCAAATTGGTAAAAGAAGCATATTGACTTAGATATGTCAAAAAACAATAGATTGTTCTGTAAATTAAAATTTAAGAACTCCTGGTTAAGATACTTCTAAGTTATAATTTAGAAACATTAACTAAAAGAGTGGTTAATATGTTAATCACATGCTGCCTGAATTAACTATGCTCCCATTTGTTCCAACTATATCTATTTTGATCAAGAAGTGCTAAAGCAGAGTTGTGATTAATGTTCCAGTTAAACAGTCCTGATTTGTTTGATATGTATTCATCTGGGATTGTACTCCTGCAAATGGCAATACCAAGCTTAAGGTCTCCTGCTGCTTTGAAGAATTTCAACTTGGAACTAAAAACTTGTGGATATGATTTGAAAAAATGGAGGGACTACACTCGCCTTAGGCCTGACTTCCAAATTCTAGATAGTGAATCTGGTAGAGGGTGGGACCTAGCAACAAAGCTTGTATCTGAGAGAGGATCCCTAAGAAGAGGACGTTTATCTGCTTCTGCTGCTTTGAGACATCCTTATTTTCTTCTGGGTGGTGATCAGGCAGCTGCAGTCCTTTCAAAATTAAGTATAAGCAGAAAGTGAGCTGCTTAGCAATGTGAGTATGTCATTTCATTTTCTGATTCTTTCATTTCATTTCCTGGTTATCTGTTTGATTTATTTAGTAAAGCATGAGCAGATCATTTTTCTTTTCTTTCCTCTTGCTGCTGTCCATGTTGGTTTCTGAAACTGTCTATGACTCTATGTAGTTATCTACAGTTTCCCAGACAAGAAACTAAAAGATAATTTAAAATGAATATGAAACTTTGCTTTCTATTTGACTTTATTAAACTGGATCAATAAAATCATTAATGTGTAGGACTTGCAATTGGTTACTTTCTTTTGCATCATATGGTGATGTAAAATTTGCTAGTTAACACAAATTGTAAGTTTCTCAGAGTAAAAACAACAGGTTTGTTTAGGTCTTGGGTTATTGATAATATTTGAGGATGGTTTACCCATTTATTTATTTATTTATTTATTTTTTGTGTTTTAGAACTAAGAACCATATCACTTTTGATTGAATCCCTCTGAGATAATGATATTCCAAAACATCTATTTCCATCAGGAGGAGCACATTTGATTTCAAAGGTCTCCCACCGCAAGCCCGCGTAACTTGTGAATTGACAACAAGTTTTTTTTTTTTCTGTGTTTGGGTTTTCCTTCCCAAGTTTGAATCAGGGGACTCAATTTCTGGCATGCAATAAGGCTGAGTACTTCAAAGCTTACAGGAGGAAAAATTATTGCTGTTGTATACATTTATATCTTCGGTGTAACTTATATGCCAACAATCTCAATCAGGTGCACATAGTGGTTGTAAGAGCTTATTCAGTTGTCTCCTATGTTTTGTTTCTACAAGAGGTGAATGCTTGAAGATTGGTGGGACCTCACCTGTGATACCATAACTTCGAGTTTTATGGCTTGAAACAGGACATACAGCAAGTAGAGCTGCGTTCTATTGACACTAACTAGATGAAACTTACATCCAAGACGGGATTATCCGATTATGTATGGAGTTCCATATACTCTGTCATCTGAATAGTATTCTTGTACGAAATTGTGCTTCTTGTGGCTTTCAAAGAGTTGTCATAGGTTAAATAATCATAGTTCTTCACACCAAAATTACTAGCTTATTTTACAAATTACCACACAAATGTAAGAACATACAAATTAAAACTATTGGCATCAATTCAAACAAAATGGTATTGTGAATCACCATATTTATCTTCTCTCTTCACTTTTCTATGTAGTTATCATTATTATAAAATTGTAGTTGATACTCTTGCATCCACCACTGCTGTGACATGCTTTCTACATGGCATTAGTTGGAAACATTGTTAGAGTTCATCATGATAAGATACTTTTTCCAACATATTTCTCTTCTTACAACCCCAACGGCATTTCTTAGAACACAAGGAGTTGAAGAGAGCTAGCCTTGTGGATTGAAGGGATATAATGCTTGATGTGGAAGGTGATTTTGAGAGAACAATTGCATACCCATCATCCATGTAATCCGTTCCATCAGGAAAGAGCTGCCACACAAGGCTTCCTGCCCCACCACCTCCTTTCTTTGTAGAGTTTAGGATGGTCTTGTACACAGTGTTTATAAGGTTGTCTCTATATGATGAATTGTAGCCAGGGGCTTTTGCAGACACACCAAACTCACCAAAAACGACGGGCATTCCAAGATACTTTTCAGCATCCTCTATGTGGGCTTCCATCCAAGACTTTATAAATGGAAGATGGGAATCAGCAATTGATTGTGAAATCCTTTGACAAGGTAAGTAATTCATTGTCAGAAACTCTCATACTCGTGTTTAAAGCTGTGGATGTCAGTAAAAGCAAAGAAGAAACACTTATGGCATAACACATTCACATTAATATAGAGCATGTTTTGATACAAGTTAAAAGTGTTTTTGAAAACTTCTCTACTAGAAAAAACTCCTTATTTTCAGTAGGAAAGTATTCAAAAGTTCTTCTAAACTTATATCTAAAGAGGCTAATAGTTTATAATAGAATTTACTTGTATGTTCTTGTGTATGAATATGATAATAAGATGAATGTTAAGTTTGCAGGAGTTCAGTTTTATGAATCTAAACATATTTCAGTAAAAGTCACCATTGAATAAACTCACCAAGAGTCTGGATATATGTGAACAGAAGCGAAGTCAACACCTAGAACCTGGTGGTTCCTGATAAAATCAGTTCCAACCTGTTGAGCAAATGAATTTGGGTTTAACTGATATCTCTGAGGTGTCGAGGGGCCATAAAATCCTTCCAGTCCAATCTCAACTAGATGTTTTGGATCAATGCTCTTTACGTAGAATGCCATTTCTTTTATCCAATCCTAGAATTTCAATTCAGCACAAAATGTGATATCATGGAAGGAACTGATTAATTTAATGCAATGATTACATAATATTACAAACTGCCTTATATGGTGTTTATTTTGCAAACAAGTAATGATAACCATTCATCTTATTCTCGTTAATTCACTTTCACCTCATTTTTCTTCTTATTTCTTTCTGCCATTTCCATCACTTTCTTTCCTTATTTTTTTTTATGGCTTTCTCTCTATGCACATTCCAATGCATTCCATTTTAGGGTGTATGATTAACATTACTCTCTGAAAACTTAGGCCCGCGGGACCCTATTTTTTTAAGAGTGGAGATACATCCTCCGAATCCTTTTTCTTATCATCGTCCGAATGTTAAAATATTAATATTTTTTAATAAATTTATTATAAAATAATTATTTAATTTAATATTTTATAATTTAAATTAATATTTTAATGTTTCGGAATGTTTTTCGAAACGAAGAATTCGGACGATGTATCATTTTTTATTTTTAATGAAGAGCAAAAGTTCTGGAGGGGCAAACCTGTAACACATCACTTGAGGAGTCTGAATTGCATCTAGGCTCATTCATCAGTTCCCAAGCAAAAATAGTTGGATCTTCCTTGTAAGTGATATTTGTGAATGTATTAACTCTATTGAGCACCGTCTACAGGGTGAAAAACAGTACCGGAACCCAATGAGTTATTAGGTAGTTGAGTATTTCAGCAGCACATAAAATAGAGTTAATACGACAATTTTGATCTGTTGGATTGTAAGGAACTTGCCTTAACATGAGCTTTGTAGTAGCTTCTTAGAGTTGGATTTGAAAAGAAGTCGTCATCGGAAGTCAAGTTAAGGCCAGCTGCATTGCCCCACTTCACATACTGTGCTTTGCCACCATAAGCCTCCCAGTTGTTAACTAATGATAATATGAGCCTGATTTTGTATTTCTTTGCTTCACTCACCACAAAATCCAATGCCTACATCCAACAATAAATGGAGTTACATGATAATTTCTATTTAGATGCACATATAACTAAAAATTTGACAATATCCATCATTCAAAAACACAATAATCACAACACAATTGGTGAGAATCGATTGATCATACTAGAGAAAAGTCGGTAGCCAAAATCAAGATTTTAAAAAACTTTCTGCAAATACAATTCCGGCTACAATGTCCGAGTTTTTAGGAGTGTCTGTGACTGCAATTGTTGTTGCATCAACTGTATTTATCTATAATGTCAAGGAACTATCAAAGAAATGACAAAAGTGCAACCGTGACCTCAATTTAAAACCTTAGTAAATCATATTGGTGTTTTAAAGTTTCGGATGTTGCTAATTGTACACTAACCAAATAGTATATAAAAGGAAATGAAAAATAAAACAAATAATTAAGTAGCATTGACCTTGAATACGTTTTCATCATAATCTGATGGAGATTTCTGAAGTGCACGCCATTGGCCATCATTGAAGGCCCAAGTCCTACAAACTGACATACCCACAGAGGATGCATGTTTGAACACCTCAGTGACCTTTCCTCTGGTGGACTCATCCGCAGCAAATACCATCAACCAGTATGTGTTGAATCCATTAACATAAAAGGGTTGGTCGTTCACCACAAATTGGTTTCCTTTCGTTTGCACCATCTGCCATTCATTTTCTTCCATGTCTCCCACTTCACTTCTTAAATCCAATAAAAGGGGAATAACATATAATTAAGTACCGAAGTTAAATGGACAAAAGTACATGAAGAATTAACAAGAGAAAACATACCCATAAATTAAGATAGAATCTGCTATATCAACGCTTTCCCAATCTTCATATTCACTGACACCAAAGGCAGTTGTGCTTAAACTTTTAGTAAGAGTCAGATAAAGGACCAAGGAAATAATACGTAATCCAAGTCCAAGTCTCTTGTGTGTTTCCATAGAGTTCGTTACCTAGCCACGATGTCTATGGTGTTTTGGACCACATTATATAAGTGATCATCTTAAATTTTCTTAAATAGAAGTGAATCAAAGACAGAAGAGTGGTGTACAAGCTGAGACCATGTCACTACTCTAGCTTTAAAGCGAAGAAAAGAAAAGCTTCTATTCTATTCTCTTCTATTTCTAAGCGATGGATTGGATAGGCAAGTCGGGTAGGAGTAAAGTAGCAAAAATGTGTGTCCTAACTCCTAAGGTACGCTCATGTGAAGTGGGTTCTACAAACCACAATTTGGGATACAGGGAGGTTTTGTTAGATTTGAAGAAACTACCTGTTATAGAAATCACATAATTTGAAGATCACTACTCATTAATACACATGATATAATCTCACCAAGTTTCATCTAATTCTATCTACCCTATTTCTAAAATAACATCGTCATAATCAATTCTATGTCAGAAAGACAGATATATAATGTGAAGGACTTGATGAAAAGAAATTTTCCAAAGGAGAAATTAACCAAAAGACCATATATACCTGTTTTTTTGTTTTGTGTCCATGTAGCTGTCTCTTCTCTGCTAAAACCTTCTTGGAGAAGTTTGATCCCTTGTTGGGGAGAAGTAGAAAATATAGATGGAGATATCAGAGCAAATGAAGAAGAGTGGATCGGTTGGATTTGGCACTCTTTGTGTAGTTTGTGACATTTGTACTTTACCAGCAATGTATGATGTTTTGTGAGAATGCTAAGATATATTAATGTCTGCCTCTAAAGTCAACCCTCAACCGTCATCTTTTTGGAACTAATGGTGGTGCTTGAGTTGAGCTAGCTACTTGTCCTTGTTCCCAAGTTAGGAACAAACATTTATGTTTGCTTGTGCACCAAGTCCTGCTGATATAACTCTTGTTCTTACTATTCATGTCAAGTCCTTGATTTTTTTGACATGATTTGTTCTTGCAGCATTTTTATTTACAAGTAGAGTTTGTTCCAGATTTGGAAAATCTATTATAGAAACCACACATTTTGGTTAGGAATAATAAGATCCAGGTTGCCTAGATATCAAATTTATGTATTTCCATTATAAATAGAGGCCAAGTTAATTTGGTCTAATTTTTAGGAAGTTATTTTTATGAGTTAATCACCTATACACTATCAGTATAAAATTTTTTACACTGACAGTCAATTAGAGTCGTTAATAATACTTTTTTATTTTAATTTAATTAAATGAACAGATAAAAATGTACTATTAATGGTTCTGATTGATTATCAATGTAAAAAAACTTTATACTGACAGTATCTAAGTGATTAACTATATTTTTATTAAGTGAAAATCATCATCATTTTGTTTCAACATACCCCCCGAGGTGCTTGTCAAAGAAGAAAAGACAAAAGTACCAATTTGCATGTATTTCAGAGGGAGATTTACTTGCTGTTTGTTCATTGGTGGATAGGAAGAATATGAAAAAAAATGTAGAAGTTACAAAGTATTTTTCATAAGAATATTAAGAGGACTTAAATATATTTAAATACTTCAACAAAGACACTTCATAAACAGTATAGGTATTTACATGACACGCGGCGGCCATCAAGTGGGGTAGCCGCTACTGGATCATTCTCACTCAACATCAATATAAACAGACGGATTTTGATATCAACAACAATTCATGGCTGGCTATCAATCTTACGCTGAAAAAGGGTTCCGGCCTGGCTTCAATCTCAACCATATTTGGTCAACTTACCCTTGATGTTTCCGAGGAGAGAGGGATTCTCCAACGAGTAAAACTATCTTAAGTGAGTTAAATTTGTATCGTGATTATAATTTAGTATTCAGCTAAGTCTAGGCATGGCAACAGGTAGGTCAGTACGGTTTTATGACACCCATATCTGTTTCTAGCTATCGTTCCTGTCGAACATCGAATATATTCATACATCATACATGTATTTATATTCATTAGA